TTCTATTCAATACACAAACTCCAGGTACTTTCTGAAGACACCAAATATTACTACTACTGTTCACAGTGTCGCAACTAGCACTCAGCTTAGTAGCTGAGCAACACAACATTTGGACTCCTGGTCAAGAAATGGGGAATGTGCATCAGTAAACGTAGCTTTAAACAGATCACCTTTTAGAGCACCAGCGGTCAGTCGGCTATCGCAGTTTTGCCCCGAAGTTTTTTAAATAATTTTTAGCACAACATGTGTAATCTTAGATGTCAACCCCGCAGGACGTGTTTGCTGAGAAATCTGGATTCACAGCTTTATGCAAACTGGTGCAAGGAACATCGGACACAAGCAGTAAAGAGTGAATAAATACATCGTTTTTCATAAAATAGCTTTGTAGTGGTTAATATGATTTTATCATCATAACTATTAACCCCTCCAGAAGTAGAACATACATGGAATGCAAAGAGAGCTGCAGTGAAGCAGACAGGAAAGTGTGAAAGACACACCTTACTTCCCGAGAGAAAGTGGTCACCTCAGAGGTTTGGTTCACGCAAATATCTCCAAACAAAGTAGGTCACTTTTCATTCACAAGTTTTTTTCGGGCTGGTCGACTTTCCTGAACGTTACAGGCGTGTCCCGCTCTATTGCTTGCTTTCTGTATTGTCTTGCATTAACGATTTTATTCCAAGAAAGAGAATGCCTGTGACATAGGTTGCAGCATTCTTTTGGGGGAGGGGGTGGGGGTGGATTATTAAGGCCCGTTGCTGCATGTTTTTGGAGCGGTAAAAGCACTAGCGTGCTGAAATATACAACACGTGATATCAACAGCATCGCGAAACACCCCTGTAATCTTGTGCAAAGGTGACAGGTTCAGGATCTACCAATCAGAAGTGACCTAGTGTGTATATGGGCGAGGCGTGGGAAAAATAACGTTACATGCACCCCCCTAGGAAAATGTCAACACAACAAATATAAGATTAGGTGTTGGTTTTCAAGCGCTGTGCGGCAAAAATGGAAACGTTTTATGAATGAGATTGGAGATAATAAAACACTAGGGAAATTCTGGAATCTGCAGACACAAATGTCGTGAAGGTTGTATAAAAGATAGTTTTGACAGTCCTATTGCCTGTCCTCTGTCTGAATCATAAAGGGGGTGTTGGTCAACGCACTCAAGAAGGTCTTGCCTGCTCTTCCAGCCTTAACCATACTGGATTTGGAAATATACAGATGATCACTCCCACTGTCATTCAAGACATTCCATTTATATATATATATATATATTTATATATAGAAAGAAACGAGAATTAACAAAAAAAGCTCGAAATAAATTCCCTAATGTAAGTGGTAAGAAATAACCCGTATATGTCACAATTAATAGGTACATAATGAGGATGCTGAATATGTCGAAATATACATTTAAATTCAGTGACCTAATCATTTTGGAGCTGTAAAATATTGTTAAGAAAACATCTGCTATACTGTATCGGCGTTACCAGTAAACTGTAACTATGTATTCAAAGTTATTGGACACACTCAATGACTATTCCTACCGTGTAATTGTACATGTATGTCTTAGTATTGAAACTTGAGCGCAGACATTCTTGTATACATGATATAGATTCTATTCATGTTTTGACCCTCCCCCTGCCCCTGTCTCATTCTGAGGGTGCGGGAGGGGGGACCGATAGTTGAAAAGGAAATTGTACCCATTGCTGCCATGATTAGATTAAAAAATAGCACGTCCTACTTTCTTAGTAGTCAATAGCAAATTACAGTGTTTTGTTTATGGCAAATTACATAATGCTTTGTTTATCTTAAGTCAGTTACACTAATTTTTTTTTTAAATCTAGAGGCTGTTCTTTGTAGCAAAGTCAGTTATTTCAAGAAAAAACGTCCTTGTCTTATGAGATCTATACGAATATATAATGTAAGTTGGTCATAGGGGAAATAATTAAAGGTTAAGATTATTATCTTTCGACATTCAGTTGAGAAATACCCAGCTGTCACTGTCGTCACAACTCGATATGTATCATTATAATCTATCAATATTTCGTTGTTTATCGTTCTGTAAATATGCACACAGTAGACAGTCTTTGAAAACGACAAAAGAGCAATGGTGAATGGTCAGTAAGTTTACAACATTCTCTTTTTCAGACCGTGGTGCCATTGTAGCACCGTGGACGAGATTGGAACCTCACCATAAGATACTAGCAAAGACAGCAACGGTACACTGTAGCCTGCCTTCATTGTGAAGACGATACAATTGTTAATATAAATTTGAACTCCCCCCCCTCCCCCTCCCCCCCCCCCAAAAAAAAAATTCAGTCCTAATCAAGGTTTCCCCATACTTGCTCCGTTCCTGTGCCAGTGCAAATTAAATGCAATGTCCCTCATTGATGCAATTGAAAATCTGGTGAACAAGCAACTAGTCCCGGAACAATCCAGAAATTTGCACAGGCAGTAAATGCGTATTTCACCTGTTGGCGATGCCAAAAGCCAACAATCGCCACCAAAAATTGGAGTTTGTCATTGATGGAAATAATCGGGCTCAATAAGTTCATTGCTTTACCAAAACCGACTCCATCTGAACGGCCATGCTGCTGACGTCACCAAACAGGGCTAACGATACGTTTAAGAACAGGTTAAACCCCTAAATCAAATTTGATTATATCTGCTAGAAACAATGCTTTCTTTAGGTACATATTAGTTAAAGATTGAAGGAAAATTAATTGTGGTGGCTAAAATCAACATATTTTCACGGAAATTGATTGCAAATGTCATATTGTATGCAGAAAAAAGTAAAAAATTTTGTACTCAACATTTACCAAGATATTTCAAAAATTGATACAGATAGCTTAATGAAAATTTGGACAAAAATTTTACATTATATGTCAAACTCTATAAACAAAAGTCTATTTACTTAACGCCATGGTTTTAAAGTTATGCCTATTTAGGTGGTAGACCTTTTTTTTCCCTAACAAATAACGGATAAGGGTTATCATAGATGATAAAAAACTCATGAAGTATTCAAGCTGCTGTATTCATTCCAGTTCACTGTGTTGTAATGTCATTTTCCCATGCATGTGCCAAGTTTGGAGACAATATGTTAATAACGTTTTGAGATATTGTTACACAACGTTGTGAAAATATATTTTTTTTAACGTGATTTTGAGAAAATTGCTAACAAGTTACCGATTAAGCTGGCTTTCACAAAAATCTTTTACATAATCAGTCCCTGCTGCTTATTTGTCATCATCAGGGAATGCCTCACCTGTCTGAATACTTTACCTTTCTCTTGTTATCTTCTTATCTATGTTATTCCCTTCTTCATCTGCTCTTTCATGTGCTTGATCAGATCTACGAAATGTGGAAGCACTGTGCCACAGCTCTGTGTGACGACATGCCTGGTGACTTCAGAACACGTCCCCCCCCCCCCCCCACACCTATTTTTTTTTTGTATGTATTTAAAGTATACAGGTAAATATGTTTCTGAATATATCCTAAATCTAGGTCGACCCAGAACAAAGCTATTTAATTTCGATGGACTACAGCTGATATCAAACATCAGTACCCTTGCAGAGTGTTTGAGGTGTCACATAATTCAGATAACACTGACCATGTAGATTTACGGGCACCAATGAAGTAGGAAGCTCAGACATAGTGACTGGAGGATTTGCTTGTAGAACTGAGGTGTCAGCTAATTATCTTATACCCAGACCTATAGAAGCAGATAACTGTGGCTAATTGTGATTATGTCTTCCTGAGAATACCCACTTGTGTAGAGGTCAGATGGTTGGTACTGACAATAGTCTGATGGAGGTATTTGGAGAGAAAGGTGTGACTTTGCTTAGGAGCTCTGATCAGCTTGAAAGACCGTGGGAATGTAACCGAGTGTTGGCAAACACGTGTTTTTGCCTTCCAGACTGACAGGTATTTAGTGATAGGACTGTCCCTCCAGGGTGGAGTTTTAGCATCCCTGGAATGTAAGAGATTGGGGAGGAGAAATAGGAGAAGCTTTGAAGAGGTTATAAAAGTGTGGACATGGGCCTTGCAACTTCAGACTCTGCCATCTATTGGGCTTAAACTTTAAGCTTGAGACAGAACGTGGTAGCATTGTGTTTTCGTCTTCCATGTAAGCGAAACTTTTTTCAACCTTTATTTAGTGATATAAATATCAATATTCTCCTTGCTCGTGTGTACTTTTTACTTTAGAGTACTCCATAGCGGAAATTTCTCCATTCCAGTAAGGTACTGTCAAATTGCTATATATCTTAATTGATATTACCGTGTATGTTTTCAGTGTACATCATGATGTTACCATTGAAATTTAATGAACTATTATTTTTATGAAATCCCAAGCGTGAAGATAATTTTGGTAGTCTCTTCACCGGTGGTTATTTTGAATCTATATTGCTTACAGCTAATACACTGAAATGTACTTAATATAATAACGCCAGAAATTGACCTCGGAGAGTGAAACCCTGAGAATTTAGACTTGATCTTGCCCCAGAAATATTGTTATCATTCTGTGCGTATACATTATTTCAGGCATTATTTCCAGAACTTGTTCTGTCAAACCTAATGTCAATTTTGAGTCTGAACTAGAGACGACATCAGACTTAGAGAACTCAACTGTCATTACAGGACATGAGTAGAGGAAGACATGAAATATAACAACTACAATGTGAGACGAAGTCCTTCCAGACTGGACTGGAAAGAATGTGAATATGAGGGGGAGAGATTAATTGTTTTTTTTTTTCAGAATAGACATGTTAGGTGTATGTCTAGTTACTACACATATGCACTTGTTTCTTTATCCCAGTTTCCACTAGCAAGACCCGCCCGTGTTAAGAAAACTGTTCCATTTATAGCGTGCAATTGCAGGACCAGTGTCAACATTTAACAATATTGTGTTTAACAATAACTAAAACAACTAGACGCTCTGCTTTAACTAAAAAGGAATTAGCCTTGGAGAAAACCTACTGAAATCCGTTTGAGTTTTCGTCGACATGTGCGACACAAATCTAACACAACTCACTAACAGTGTAACTCAAGAACAAAAGATAATCATTCCTGCAAAGCAGTTATTGTTAACTGTCGAAACTCTCTACTATTTTCTGTTAGTTAACTTGTGGGGTCCTGCCCAAGCCGTGTGCGTTCTTGGAATAACTACAAACATTCTCAACATAATTGTTTTTTCTAAACAAGGAGTGCGTGACACTGTCAACATAAGCCTTCTGGGCTTGGCCACATCAGACTTGGGTTCCCTGATTACGTTGCTTTATATAAATATCTCATTTATGCCAGATTTTATTGCGCTGGACCTCCCGTTTGTCAACAGTGACGTCATGTATATTTCTTGCTGGTGCCATATAATATTCACCAGAGTCAGCACTTGGATAACTGCTTACATCACATTAGAGAGATGTCTCTGTGTTACTGCGCCTCTGAGAGTCAAGAATTTGTTCACGCCCAAGAGGACAGTACTGATTCTTGTTGTTGTCTATGTGTTGATGACTGCAAGCATCTGTCCTATGTTCTACGCTGCTAGGCCTGCCAGAATTTTTGACCCTTCAAATAACCGAACCTTGTTTGGAATATACTTTATAGAAGACCGAAGCAAGATAGAAGCTATTACATTCATGACAAACAACACAATCCCAACACTGGCCTTTTTTACAGTGGCAATCTGCACCGCAATCCTTGTCTCAACTTTACGAAAGAAATCAAAATGGCGTCTACAAGCTACCATGTCTACTGCCAAAACTGTCGTAGCTGACAGAGATAACAAGGTGGTCAAAATGGTGGTACTAATATCTATTATATTCATTGTTTGTTACTTCCCGGGAGCAGCTGTTTTTGTGTACATGTTACTAGATGCCGATTTACGAATTGATGGAATTCAGAAGAATTTGATAACTGCAATTTTTGCAATTTTATTTCATCTGGAATCCATTAACTCCACTGTTAACATCTTTATATATTTGAGCATGAGTTCAAAGTTTAGGGCTTTTCTCATGAACATGATGTGTTTCAAGTGTAGTAAACGATCGGTGTGTTACAAATTGTATAAATAAGTGTCATCTGTTTACTGCCAAAATATGTGCCAGATATTCTTCTCTTGCTGTTTAGGAAAATGGAACCCAATACAAACATCTGCTCTTAATACAAATTCTTCCTTCTCCACCGTCTCTGTTCTCTTGAACTATCTCTATACGCCTCAACTATCGTAGTCTACTAGTCCATGTGATGCCAGTAATTACTAGTAATTTGGAAAGATTGTTAACTGTGTTGTTGTTTGTCATGTGGACGTATGTATGTGTATATGGATGTATGAGGATGTGTGTATGTATATGTAACTGTGTAAGTATGTGGGTGCATATGTGTATGTATTTATGTATGTAACCAAGTATGCATGTGTGTAAATATGTAGGTGTGTAGTTATAGATGTGTTAGTTAGTTAGTTGTTTACGGTTCCGACATCACAGCAGACGAGCTTGGCCCATAATTGCTCAACCGCCTATGCCAATGATTCTAGTCACAAAATACCAAGTGTCCTCAGTCAGTAAAACACAAACGATTTGATTTGGCAAACCATGAGGGGCATGCCTCCTTAGACACACTGCGAGACCAATCGTCATCACTGAAAATCAACTTCTTTAGACGAATAGCTAGGCGATGAGTAACTTATGACTATTCCTGGCCGTCCTACACATGTCCTCGGCCAAGTTGCAGCCACGGCTAGCAAATAAAAAGTAGCTATAGCACACGCCTTGCCCCATAACTCAACGAAGAAAAATACATCACCCATCATTGCCATTATGAACGAATTGGGAGCTCAGTTAGTAACAATCACAGCTCATAGTGCCGACAGGAGCACTAAACTCAGTCGCTCCAGCTGCAAACCGGATTTCAAAATCTTGCAACATC